TGTTTACCTCTGCCGACGTAAATTTGTCATCCGGCAAACTCGCTAGAGCCATATTCAGGTTCTCGTAGCTATCTGGGAGTCCGGCTAATATTGCGTATGCTAGATCTTCATCTTTTACCTCGGCGCCTGCGTCTTTGAGGTTAGTAGTTGCGACTTTCGCTCTCGCGACGTACGAAGACATATGTTCTTCATTCTTCATTTGTAGATGATAGAATGCTTTCTTCAGCTGCATGATTCTCACTCTCGATTTAGGTTCGTGGATTTGCTCGAGTATTCGCCATGCCTCAGATGCGCTTTTGCAGTCTTCTATATGTATCTGTTGGTCTATCTCGATGTTTAAGCCTATGGTCGCCATCGCCTTGTCGTCATTGGTTTGATGGCGGCTCCTCTCGGCCGCGGTGGCTTCGTCGCTTAATTCGGTCTTCCCGAGCGCGTGATCTAGTAGTCCTTTACCTTTCAGTAGCCATTTCATCTCGATTTTCCATGTCCGGTAATTTCTGTCGGACAGCTTCTCGATCAGAGCTTCCCCTCTCTTGTCCATGGTGCTCATCCTTTTCGGCCTCTATTTCTGAGAGTTCCGTCTTCCTTTAACCTCAAAGGATGTCCTCTGATATCGCGCCCTGTAACGTCCTGGGCCCATAACCAATTGTGGGACAATTGAGGTGACGATAGCTTGCTATCAGTTAACGCTCTTTATTGTTACCTGATACACTATATTCTGTACATCCTTCAGTCTTACAAAAATGCGTGTGTGTAGTACAGATCGAGATGACTGACTGACTGATGTAACTAACTTAGGCAATGAATAGATAGATTATATAGGTTGGTAGACAACGGTTGGAAACAGGCACCAGCCAGTCGGGCCTTATGCATCGGCGCGCTGCTAACATGGCGCCAGATCCAATAGGGACAAGCAATTATCCTTCATAAAGTATGAGTTACCTTACAAGAGATCTTTTGCAAAAATTTTTCTTTATTTCGACATAAAATGAAAAAAAATACACAACGGCAGTTCTGACTACTTTCTACAGTAGTGTGGTAGTTTCAACTACAGTGTATATAAAATATACACTTTGTAGCAGTATAATGGTTGTTTTGATGACGAAATGTATAGATTTTGACGACGTAAAGGGTGTTTTGGCAACTATAGTCGTCAAAGCTACCATTACAGTGCTTCGATTATAAGTCGTCAAAAGAACCTTTATATCGCTATGATCCATAAATATTTTGTTTACTGCTAAACTTATTATATAGTTGAAAAGAGTAAATTTTTCTTCAAAGATTAACCGGAAATTTAGAATAGAAAACAGGAGATGTAGTAATATGTAAGTTTGGTTTCATATACGTGCGTGTGTCAATGTGTTTTAATAAAGACTTAACTATTCTCGTATCGCAGTTGGGTTTCTATGATATATTTCAACTTACATCTACCATCTTATATCTATATAAAGTATGAGTTACCTTACAATGTCGTAGCGCTACCGTTACAAGATAAAGAAAAATTTTTACAAAAGATCTCTTGAGCTACAACGACCAAGGTCACACGAAATCACTTACTACCTACCACACCATGCTGTAATGAAAGAAGGGAGTGAAACCACAAGGTTGCAAGTTGTTTTTGATGCATCAGCCAAAACAAGTACAGGACTTTCGCTCAATGATGTGCAACTAGTAGGGCCTACTATCCAGCAAGATTTATTCAGCATCTTGATGCGTTTCCGTCAACATACCTACGCAATTTCCGCCGACATCTCAAAGATGTATAGGCAGATACGAATGCATCAAGATCAATGTAAACTACAGCGCATTTTATGGCGATTTAGTACAGAACAGGAGATTGATACGTATGAACTACAAACCGTTACGTATGGAGAAGCTTGCTCGGCATTCTTAGCAACTCGGGCACTACATCAAGCAGCGCTAGATTTACAACAACGATATCCCGAAGCCGTATTCGCGACTTCTATGTGGATGATCTTCTGACGGGCGATAACGACATCGAGCGTCTAAGCAGGATAAAGGAGGAGATAGTTACCATCCTCGAATCGGCCAAATTTGAGCTTCACAAATGGAAGGCAAACCACCCTGCATTGCTGAATGCGCACGAAATCCACGACAAGCCCACTATATCTTTGGGAGATTGAACCAAGATTCTCGGACACCTATGGGACACTCAACATGATGCATTTTGTTACACCGTAGGACCATTGGAACGTCATTGTAAACCCACCAAGAGACAAGTATTGTCATCTATTGCTCAGATATTCGACCCATTAGGTTTAATAGGACCCGTTATTGTCCGGGCAAAAATATTTATGCAGCAACTATGGCAACTTCAATTAAGCTGGGATGAGTCGCTACCATCTCAACTCCATACTCAATGGGTACAATGGTACCACAAGATCCCTCATTTAAATCAACTGGAAATACCTCGTCATATTATGTGCGATAACCCGCAAGGCCTGGAACTCCACGGTTTTTGTGACGCCTCAGAACAAGCGTATAGTGTCTGTATTTACATAAGAAGCACGGACCTCGATTGTAGACATCATGTCAGGCTATTGTGTGCAAAATCGCGGGTGGCCCCACTCAAGGTCATATCGTTACCCAGACTCGAACTTTGTGGCGCTTTATTGTTATCCCAATTATATCAGCGAGTTATTCATTCATTAAGCACCAAATTCGATAGTTTGCATTTCTGGTGCGATTCCACTATAATTTTGTCCTGGATCGCAGGAAGTCCCAAGCAATGGTCAACTTTTATCGCCAACCGCACTGCAGAGATACAAAGGTTAACGGAGGGAGGAGAATGGCATCATATTCGTTCCGAACTTAATCCTGCAGACGTAATCTCCCGAGGAATAGACCCCGACGAAATTCAAAACTCCATGCTTTGGTGGACTGGTCCCAAGTTCTTGCAAGAAGAGTACGAAGTGGTATCAAAAAATGCTCCACGTCTGCTCCGACCCGAAGAATTACCCGAGGTGAAGCGCACCACCATCGTTCTATCGGTCTCGACAGAAGAAAAATTAAACATCATCGACAAATTCTCTTCATTGAACCGACTCAAACGGGTATTCGCCTATTGTCTTCGCTTTTCACACAATGCAAGAAAGGGAAGGAAGGATCGCGAGGCTAGAATACAAGGACCATTGCGAGTGGAAGAACTCCAATATAGCATGGAAGTCATTCTCAGATTAACACAAGGAGAAGCCTTTGCCGAGGAAATCAAACTGCTCTCCCAAGGAAGAGAAATATCACGCAAAAGTAAGATACTCTCTCTTCGTCCATTTTTGGACACCAACGCTCTTCTACGCGTAGGAGGAAGACTACAAGAAGCTCCTCTGGATTATGATCAAAGGCACCCTATAATCCTGCCGAAAGATCGTCATCTCACGAAACTAATAACACGAAATTAAGGAAGAACATCTAAAAAATTTGCATGCAGGAACACAAACTCTATTAGCAATAATACGTACACGGTATTGGCCCATATCGGGAAAGGGCACTATAAAGAGAATTCTCCATAAATGTCTCACTTGCTATCGTTTCAGTGCGTTACCACTCAAGCAATTAATGGGAAGCCTACCTGCGTCACGAATCACACCCTTGCCTCCTTTCGCCAAAACCGGAGTTGACTACGCGGGTCCATTTACTATTAGAATAAGTCGCAATAAAACAGATAAGGCATACTTATGCATCTTTGTATGCTTCGTGACTAAAGCCGTACATTTAGAGATCGTTTCTGAACTCAGCACAGTAGCCTTCTTAAATGCGCTGAAAAGGTTTATAGGTAGGCGCGGCAAACCAATTAGCATCCACTCCGACAATGGAACGAATTTTGTGGGAGCCAATAACTCACTGAAGGAGATGTACAGCCTGGTCAAATCCAGTAATGTAGAGATTCACGATTATTTGTCAGAGCACGCAATTAAATGGAATTTCATTCCCCCACAATCGCCCCACATGGGTGGCTTATGAGAGTCGGCAGTTAAATCTTGCAAGGGTCACCTGACAAAGGTTATTGGTTCAACTTCTTTGACTTTTGAGGAACTAACCACTGTTGTTGTCCAAGTGGAGGCAATATTAAACTCAAGGCCACTGACGCCCATGTCAACAGACCCCGCTGATTTTAACGCATTGACTCCCGGCCATTTTATAATCGGGCGTCCGCTCGTTTCCACACTAGAGCCTGATCTTGCCGACGTCAAGGTTAATCGTCTTAAACGATATCAGGTCTTAGAGCAAATAAGGCAAAGTTTTTGGAGGCGATGGTCAGTCGAGTATTTGACGCAACTCCAACAGAGAGTGAAATGGAAGGAGGTTGAAAACACGATAAAGAAAGATACCATGGTTATCTTACGAGACCCTAATGTCCCGCCAATGCGCTGGCGGCTTGCCAGAGTAATTAACGTCCATCCAGGTAGAGATGGTCTAGTTAGGGTTGTGGATCAAAACAAGTGCGGGTGTATTTCAGAGATCTTTGTCTAAAATTTGCGTTTTACCAATAGAAGTTTGAATCCTTTGAAAGTCAAGGCTTTCAAGGCGGGCGGTATTGTTAAGCAATCAGTTTTCATTTCCTTTTATGATATCGTCATTGGCTATTTTGTATGTGCCGCCATGCGTTATTCGATATTTTAGTTACGTGGCCATTCTATGTTGCGTTTTATGTTTAAGTCGCCATCTAGTTTAAGGCTAAGAGTTGTTAACGGACCACGAGGAGAAGAATTCGTATCGCTGTAACGCACAGAATAAAGCGGACGTACTCACACACCAACATCCGTTCCACGATTCATTATTCATAAAAATCCAAGCCATTTACTGGAAAATAAGTTGCGAGCACACACGAGAGCAACCAGTGTTAATAAACTTAAATGGATTATCAATGTCAAGATTTTTCAATATATCTTGTAATTTTTTAAGATTAATATCTTGAGCGGTTATAATTGTTTTAAAAAATGACACTAAAGGCTGAGTAATATTATTTGCAACATATTTTTGTATTTCCAATACATCATTTCTATTCAAATTGTTTTTATTGTGTAAATTTAGAGTAAACTTGATCGCATCTTTTTCCATATTTCGACATGATTTATTCAATAATTCCTTTGTATTTTCATTAAAATTTTCATTTACGATATGAGGTAAATAATTATCATTATCATTACTTGTAACAATTGTATCTGCATTGACTTGACTGACATTGTGGATTGATTTTCGAGGCTCGTTTTCAATAGTTTTCTTGCATTCTTTGTGACTAATTGCCAAAATATCATGATGCTTCAAAAGATGTTTTTTGAACTTAGTAAGTTGTGTAAACGATTGAGGACAATTATTTTGTTTACAAACATACACATTGTTTAAAGTTTTATGATAATACTTCAAGTGAGTGACAATCAAATCGACACTTTCAAAGTTTGATAAGCAAACCGAGCAAATGAACATTTCGAAAATGTATCAAAATAAAATAATTTTTATTCTAAACGTAATGACGAACTGAAGTTATAAAGTTGTGGACTATCAATATCGATATTTGTATTGATTTTATATAACTGTTTTTGTAAAAATGTCCAAACAAGCTCACTTTCTGTTGGATATTTAAAATCGTAACAATGAAAACATTTGAAACAAAAATCTACGCACTTTAAAAAAGACAAATTTGTATAGTACATCGTTTATCCACGTAAAAAATTCGCAAGTGTTACTTTCCTCGACAACGATGATGACAGGCTGTACTTGAAGGCCCAATTTCAAATATTTGTCTCTTCTTTCTTCGATATTTCTTTGGAGGTCGTTAATACTGTTCAAATGCAAGATTTGACTATATTGGGAATCTGCAATGCTCGGTTTCCATATCTTTTTATCTTTATTCAAGATAATTCGTTTGTTGGGTTTCAGAACGCAATGAATTAATTTCATAGTCAGATAATCTCGATAATCTATAAAAATTAAGTATTAAAAAGTTATTAAAATAAAGGGGAAAGAGCTATTTAGTCTAGCAACTATATACAATAATTACACATTATATACACTTAATACGTACGTTCGTTTTCAGTGTGTTGCAGCTTCTGTAAATCTAATTTTCCAGATTTATCTTTGATAGAAGATGTAAAAATATTTGTCACCTTGTTCGTAAATTTTGACCAGAAAAGAAATAAATTATTTTCTTTACCCGGAAATAAGTATTTAAAATCAATGTCAATCTGAAAACATCCCTAAAATTAACTTGGTTATAACTACTTTAACTTCCTCTATAAGTACACATTTGATAGATAGTTGTTACATTATTGAAATCGAAATATGTCAATATTCTGAATCTGATGGCGGACTTAATTAAGATAATAATTTTTTAGAGTTGTTACTGTATTGAATTGAGGTATAAATTTCTTTTAATATTATTAATTTGTCTTACCAACACATCGCATTTGGGATGTTTTAATAAGGGCCATTCGACTATTATTTCATGAAATTTTTTTATTTTGCATTCTTTTGACCTGTTTAGTGTCTTCCCACCGTTTAATAACTTCCTCTAAATTATTATCTATGTCAGAGTATTTCAACCAAGCTTTTATATTGTCGATTTCCGTATTAACGATTTCTTCTTCTAATGGTACAGGAAGCGTATTTGTATCTACAAAATAATCACGACGTACATCATAGAAATTAAGTTAGAGACCGACTGAAGCCGAAAACCGAAACTATATAATAGTAATAAAATTTAAAAAAATACAGATAATAGTTTACTAAAGTGGGTAATAAAGTTTATTTAATAATAAAAACTCCTATTTTCTGTTAATTTTCTTTTAAATTTTATTAATTTCATATACCTTCGGCCTTCGGCCAAAAAATTCAGCTTCGGTCGGTCTCTAGTGTAAGTCACTAATAACAGAAATAGTTAAAAATAGCAATAATAGTAGTTAAAAATAACAGAAATGAATAAAAATGAAAATGAGTTAAGAAGCTATGACAGAATAAATTTTTATTTCTGCATTACCATTATAATCTGTTGGAATCATACGTAGTATATGGATAAGATATATTTTGTGGATATTTTAACTTATATTAAACTTTCTAATAAAGACCGACGACAAGTTCAAATACAAATCAATAAGGTGTAATATAACGGTCAAAGCGTCTCTAGGTGCTTAATGATATATTTCAGAAATAGGTCGCCAAACTTCAAGAGTATATTCTACTCACTGTAAGGATGAAAAAAATTATATAAACGTAGGTCCGGAAACGCTTCCTGCCATCATAATAATAACTATCTTAGCTCTTAAACACTTAAATAAAGACTGATTCCAATTCCAAAGAGACCCATCTATTAACTTCTTATTTACTTCTAATAGAAGGTGAATAAAACAATCCATGAGACGTCGATATGAGGCATGTTGTCTCTTGTAAATAAAAAGTGTTTATAACTTGGAAAGGAAGTGTTTCCAGATATAACTTTTTTCATGCTTACAGTGAGTAGTATTTGTATTTATATTAAACTGTATTTATCTCTGTAATATTGATTAGAAACTAACACTGATTGACTTATCACAGATTTAGTTATTTTTGGCTGTATATTGATCTATTGTATTTATTGGAAGTAGATTCCTTGGACGGCTTCCGTACGCAGTGTGATGGGCAGTATCACGAGACACGGTAGTGTCTCGCGCCAAGTATAAGCGACTAAGTATAAGCGACAAGCTAAAACCACGCGCGCGACACCGACCGTGTAAGTTTACGCGAGTACACGAGTTGACGGGCCCTCAGATTTTCGGATCTCAACAACGACTGATCCGACGAACTTGAGACTGCGCTTAATCGATAGCTTGGGTACGATTTGCATAATAAAAGTGTTTTTACTTTTCTCCTACGTGCCCCATGAGTGCAGATATTGCAATGCAAAGTCCGTGTACGTAGAAAATTACGTATTAAGAACCGTCTTCGTCGTCTTGGTCGACAGGCCAGTGGATCCTTTTCACTTTTCTGCCGCAACGTGGCATTGGCGCTGCTGACGTGACTGACATTACCGATGTTACCGACGCGTAACATTACCGATGTTATTACCGACGACTTCCGAAAGCTCGGTTTACCGTCGAGTTATATATTAATACCTTGAACTGGATGTCCACGTATTCCAGGTTGCCGATGACGACGTCCAGACAGTGCGCTCCGTAGTTTTCGGTGTCTAGGTGTATTAATACCTTGAACTCGATGTCCACGT